TATGACAATGTTTTTCAGAGGAGAAAGTGAAGGTTTCTTCTTAACATTAAGTCTAGTAGAGTCTGACTCTGGGGGGTGTGCCCATCTCCATTTCTAAGCCAAAGAGACGATGTTGTCCATAGACTTCCAGACAAAGCAGTACCTATTGATCTATTCACATTTACATGTTTTTGAACTGTTAAGTTGGCAGAAGCTGGGCCTAACAGCGGGAGCTCACCCCACTCCTTGGATTCGAACCACCAACCTTTCGGTGAGCAAGCACAGCAACTCAGCGGTTTAACAAGAAATCAACAGTTTAGGACTGCTGTCAGCCCTAGCTTTCTAACAAGAAGTCCATAGTTTAGGGCTGTCGTCAGCCCTAGCTTCTGCTTACCTAGCAGTTTGGAAACAGCAATGTGAGTAGATCAATAGGTACCACTTTGCATGGAGGTAAAAGGCGCCCCTGAAGAAGTCATGCCGGCTATTTGATCAGGAAGGCATCCATGGACAACAGGCTCCTCAGCATGGAAAATGGAACAACAGTACATTCTATAAGCATATTGAAATATAGAAAACAAAGGAAATTAGACTTTTAGATGCAATAGTTAGAAGGCTCAGGAATGTTCAGGAGGTCTGTTCAATGTTAAGGCTGTTATCCATAAATTCCTAGTGACAGGAATGGGCTGACTCCAGCCTAATGGAAGTAAAATGGGAGCTGGAAGAGACTTTGCGGGCCATTGAGTCCAACCCCCTGCCTGATCCCTCCTCCCTATGACTTCCCCTCACATATCATGTCTCCATCGTGTCTCCTCTCAGCCTTCTATTCTGTAATCTAAAAATGTCCAGCTCTTTAAACCGCTCCACATAGGGCTTGTTCCCAGACCCTTGATCATTTGAGTCGCCCTCCTCTGAACACATTCCAGCTTGAGAACATCTCCCTTCAATTGTGGTGCCCAGAACTGGAAGTCAAACCTCTTGACTTGATGGATGGGCTGAAAATGTTTCTCTATAACCATGCTTAAAGGGCTTTAGAAAAAAGATCTGATTATGTACCATATGTTGAGAGAGTCAAAGGTTATCTCTGTGATGTAGAAATGTGATGCATGTAACTTTGCCTGCTTGTAACAGAGGAATGCATAAAAGTAGGAAATTCTCTTTGTTCAGGGCTCTGCCCTTTTGGAACTGATTTCCAGCTGCCAGTTAGTAAATAAACTGTGTTTTTAAGCCTCAAAGAAAGGGTCTCCTTGGCTTTCTCTTGCCATCCCAACTCATCATAATATTCCTGGAATCCCGATCACCACATCTAATATTAATATTTTGGAGCTAGAGAAAGTGTAGACATATACTAAATCTCAAAGGAAGGCCACTTCTGAACAAATCTCACAGAGAAAACCCTGTGATAGGGTCACCTTAGAGTCGTAATGGGCCGGAATGATCTGAAGGCACACAAAAACAACAACCTAGAATCATAGAATTGTTGAATCGTTGAGTTGGAAGAGATCTCATGGGCCATCCAGTCCAAACCCATTCTGCCAAGAAGCGGGAAAATCACATTCAAAGCACCCCTGACAGGTGGCCATCCAGCCTCTGTTTAAAAGCCTCCAAAGAAGGAGCCTCCACCACACTCCAGGGCAGAGAGCTCCACTGCTGAACAGCTCTCACAATTAGGAAATTCTTCCTAATGTTCAAGTAGTTTGAAGACATTGTTCCACGTCCTCGTCTCCAGGGCAGCAGAAAACAAGCTTGCTCCCTCTTCCCTTTGACTTCCACTCACATATTGATACATGGCTCTCATCATGTCTTCTCTTCTGTAGGCTAAAAATGCCCAGCTCTTTAAGCCTCTCCTCATAGGGCTTGTTTTCCAGATCCTTGATCATTTTAGTCGCTCTCCACTGGACACATTCCAGCTTGTCAACATCGCCCTTAAATTGCGATGCCCAGAAATGGACACAGTAAATCCCTTTGCTTATTCTTATTACTGTGTAACAAGACTACAGATATCATTTCTGTTGAATCTACTGTACAAGTTGCAAATCCTAGTGTTACAATTCTGCTTTCCCTTCTACTCAGTTTCACATGAGAATAAGTTAAAGTAGTATTCCAGGTGTGGTCTGACCAAGGCAGAATAGAGGGGTAGCATGACTTCTCTGGATCTAGACACAATACTCCTATTCATGCAGGCCAAAATTCCATTGGCTTTTTAAGCTGCCGCATGATATTGTTGGCTCATGTTTAACTTCTTGTCCATGGGGACTCCAAGATCTTTTTCACACGTACTACTATCAAGCCTGGCATCGTCCCTCATTTTGTATCTTTGCATTTCATTTTTTCTGCCTAAGTGGAGTATCTTGTATTTGCCCCTGTTGAACTTCATTTTGTTAGTTTTGGCCAATCATCTCTCAAATCTGTGAAGATCGGTTTTAAATTCTGCTCCTGTCTGCTCCTGTCTTCTGGACACAGTGAAGACATCTGCCCTTGCGCTATGCTACTCTGCTGCTGAGTATGTATGCCCAGTGTGGAACACATCTCACCACGCTAAAACAGTGTATGTGGCTCTTAATGGGACATGCCACATTATCACGGGGTGTCTGTGCCCCACACCACTGGAGAAATTACACTGTTTAGCCGGTATTGCACCACCTGATATCCGCTGGGAAGTAGCAGCCAATAGTGAAAGGACCAAGGCAGTGACATCTCCAGCTCATTCCCTGTTTGGATATCAGCCAGCACGTCAACAACTTAAATCAAGAAATAGTTTTCTAAGATCTACAGAGACACTCGCTGGAACACCCCAGCAAATGAGCGTCCAAGTGGCAGGCTCAAACCCAGAACCTCAATCAATGGATGATACCAAATGAGAAAACTGGGTGACTTGGAAGGCACTGAACAGACTGTGCTCTGGCACCATGAGATGCAGAGCCAACCTTAAGAACTAGGGCTACAAAGTGGAATCCAGGACATGCGAGTGTGGAGAGGAGCAAACCACTGACCACCTGCGGCAATGCAACCTGAGCCCTGCTACATGCACAATGGAGGACCTCCTTGCAGCAACACCAGAGGCACTCCAAGTGGCCAGATACTGGTAAAAAGGACATTTAATCAACTACCAAGCGTGCATTTTGTCTGTTTGTTTGTTTTGTTAAAAATGTAATACAAATGTTTGGTTGATCCTGACACGATAAATAAATCATGGCAACAGGAGACACTTTGTCTCCAAAGGCATGGAGCTTTGTCTGATTAATGAATCCCAGCCTTGAGGGATTCATTCTCAAGTGCCACCAAACACTTGTCTTAGGCATGCAAGAGGCTGGAGTTCTTCTACGTTCTTTCTTTCCACCATGCAGACCACTCATGGTAGAGATGCCCACCAAAGACAGACACAGCCAGGGCATCATTTTCACACTAGACTCTGATTTAACAGGATTGGTGGCATGTCTTTCCCTGGATGGATCAGCACCTGTAATTCCACTGAGGTACAGAAATGACAATAGTTATAACTAGCATGAAGAAGACAGAAGTGGAAATGAATGTGACTGTGTGGTATCTTCCAGGAAAAAGTAGATTATGTATTGTCAAAGGCTTTCATGGCCATAATCATTGGGTTGTTGTAGGTTTTTCGGGCTATATGGCCATGCTCTAGAAGCATTCTCTCCTGGCGTTTCACCTGCATCTATGGCAAGCATCCTCAGAGGTCATAGATGCAGGTGAAACGTCCGGAGAGAATGCTTCTAAAACATGGCCATGTCCTGAAAAACCTACAAAAACCTAGATTTGGGTTTTTTAAAGAAGACATTTTGAACTAGCATTATTATAATTCATGAAGACAAGGTAATGAGGGAGATAGGGAGAGGTAGGGATAGAGAAAATTAGGAAAAGGGTAGAAGAAAGTAATCAGATGATGAAAATAGTCAATAGTTCCCAGCAGCAGCCCTAATTTTGACAGATTTAAAACTAATTCGGGCCAGGCTTTGATCAGAAGCTTTCATCTAGTCATGGCTAGCAAATTTTACATATTTTTGAAATATTTTCCCACTGTCTTTTATTAAACCAACTTGCTATAGTGCCAGTAGTATACAATTCTATCCAGTCAGTTTCTGAAGAGGTTGCCAGATTTTGGCACCTGGGTTCATCCCTCCCCAATTCTGTTTGAATCTGAGACAATAATCCACTCGTCCAAAAATAACTATACACATTTTGCACATATTTTTGCATATTTTTCTCACAGGAACAATGCTGTGAGGAGTTTTTATTCATAGATGTATTTTTGTGAGTGAGGGAAAGAGGGATGCCCCAATGGTCTTGTGCCACCTTCATGACAATAGCAAAAGCTTTTCTCGAATACAGTTCCCTTTATTTCATGCGTGCACTCTTATCTGTGATGTCAGTGTTTCTGAATTCAAAATATTCTGTATCTTAATTTCAATTGAAGGCTGACTTATGACCTTATCAACATGAGGTACTTTTTGGAGGCATGTGCTGGTTTGCCAATATTTTTATGACACAGCCCACTGGCTCCCATCCTATGATGAAGAGCAATTTCCGGCAGGACTGTATTGCACAGCGGAAGGGACTTGAGGGTTCTCATGTGCCACCCTCATCAGCTGCTCTCTAAAACCTTGAGGTACTACAATTTGACTATATGCCACTGATCCTTCTGTCCATTTTAAAGCCTTTACCCGATAAAGTCTTGCAGAGAGCTTTCTCCCCAGACTCAATAAACCCAGTGCTCTTCTCTTATCAGCAGTGTTAAGAGAAAATGCAAGTGATGTACATTCCCTCTTTTGCACAAGTGTTCACAACAGGCCGCCCCTCCTAGTGACCCTTGTGGGAGTGGGATAAGTACTCTCCAAAACACGAGAAAAGACCATAGAATAGATGCATAAAGAAAAGTTTATTTAACTTCACATTGTGCTGCAGCCATTAACAAGGGTGAGAAGAAGAGGTCAAGCCAGGATTTCAGAGACAGTATTTTGAACAGAATCACATGGAATTTTTGAGCATCAGATCAGGAAAAGTGGTCATCAAAGAGATATCCATCTAATCTAGTTTCATCCGGCATGCACAGCTCAATGTTATACAGGGAGCTCTACAGCTTTTGTTTGCAGATATAGGCGTTAGTATTCTGGCAATATATATCATTCCAATCCTTGAAACCTAAAATACAGAAAACAATGTCATTTTCTTCTCAATCTGTTATTTATTGGGAAGGGTTTCAAGATGTTGTCTCTGTGTCAGCTCTCTAGTCCTCAAGTTTGTAAAATATTTTTTCACTGGATAACTGCTCTGTTATAGCCTGAGTTATATGGTGTTGACTTGTGATTTGGTTTATGTTTGTAAGGCATTGAAATTGGCCATTATTTCTGTGTAAACTGCTTTGAGTCCCCCCAGGGGTAAGAAAAGCGGTGTATAAATACTGTAAATAAATAAATAAATAAATATAACTGAAAAGAACTTGGTTGGGGGTGGTGTGATAAAGTATGATCCTTGTAGCTGGGATTTGTACCCATAATTTCACATAGCTATGCCCAAAAATATTCTCTGTAGGCCTTTTCTAGATCCTCCAGAGTTATTCTATGTTTGCTTCTGTTAGAATTTGGTCATAGAGTGTTGCTAGAAGACCTTGAAACTGTAGAAGTGCTTTCTCTCTAGGTATTTTCTAGGTCCTCCACCATGATTCTACACATCAGCTGGATAACCTTGTTCATTTTCAGTCTTTTTCAGATAGCTTACTTGTATAACGCATGAGTTCTACGCAGTATTCCTGATTCTGGTAATTGTCTGGCTGGCCGTACCCCCATGCCTTGTAGTTGAAGGCTGATCCATCACTCCACCTCCATCTCCGGTTCTGCAGACATGAGAGACATAAATGAGGAAGTGAAGGGACAATTGAGATGGTGCAGTTACCATCTCAGCTGGAAAGCTGTAGGAGATTTTATTGGGTGTAACAGTGGTTGTCTAGCAAGAGTTTGTGATTGGTTTTCCGCTTTAATACCACTCAGGAGACTTGCATGGTCAGGAAAAGATCCACATTATAAGTAGAAAGCTTGCGAAGATATATAAATGTTTGGACTTATGTTGGAAATGTCAACAAAAGAAAGGAAGTTTTTACCACATGTGGTGGACCTGCCCAAAGATGAAAGATTTCTAGATAAAAATTCATAATGAAATGGAAAGTATATTAAACAACAAAATCACATTGAAACCAGAAAGGTTTTTATTAGGATTACTAGATAAGCAAATACCAAAACACCAAAAAAGAATCTTTCTCTACATGACGAGAGCACCAAGAATGGAATATGCAAAATTGTGGGTGTCCTGGCAGTGGGAATGTAGGTGACTGTGGAGCCCTATTCTTGACTGCCATGTTCTCCTGCAGTAAGGGCAGAGGTTTCCAGGTGGAAAGCAGTCCCAGTTGGGGTTGGATTGATGCGCCTTCCCCTTGGCACATTTATCTCTTTCGCCCTCTATTCATGCCTCTTAAAATTTTACAGCACTGCTGGTCACAGCTGACCTCCAGCTGGAGCGCTCAAGGGCCAGGGTTTCCCAATTCTCGGTGTCTATGCCACAATTGTTAGGGTTGGCAAAGATGCAACTAACCAATAACTAATCTATTATCCCCCTTTCCTTCCTTTTCCTTCCCCTTTCTCCCCACTCTCAGAGTAATAGTGCAGCAATTTTTTTTAAACCGTAGGCATTTCCATGTCAACATACAACTTTCTTAAATGCATGAAATACTATTTTGGGGCTAAGATCTCCCCAGCTGTGCAGGTGAATTTTGAAATGCAGGAGATCATAACCACAATTCACACCTGCACATCCCAGTGATGTGCAACACACTATCCAATTTGCTTGGTTCAACATGATTATGTGCAGCATAGTTATTTAGGAGTATGCTCTGTAGAATGAAGTAGTGCTTCCAAGTCTTGGTGTGATAACATAGCCACAGTGAGGGTTGGTAATTCCCTTTATAATTTTTGAGTAATGCCTGGGATGGACTCACCAAAGCAATGATGAGAATTTGTGAGAAAACCAGAGCTTACTCACCTGACGGGGATCATGCAGTCCGAGCCAGACTTTGCTTCCGTGGGGCTTCTGAAGGAGGATGTAGCTGGCGACGAGATTTGTCTCTGACTCAGTAAGAATAGAGGCCAGATGAGTCCCGGGGCCATAGCTCTGGCAATCCATCTTAGGACAAAGAAGGAGTTTTATTCACACTGTTAGCTTCCAGCATTTTAAAGCTTCTCTAGACTTTTTGCTTCATCCTTCTCATTTGTGGGGGACAATGGAAGAAATGAAGTCAACCTACCCTGTTTTCCCCGAAAATAAGACATACCCATAAAATAAGCCGTAGCAGGTTTTCTAAGCATTTGCGCAATATAAGCCAATAAATATTCTTCTACCCAGGACTATTATTTTTTGTGCATAAAATTCTGTTCCTGTGCAAAAGAACCATGTGCAAATGTTGTACAAACGCAATCCTGTTTAGCTAACAAGTTCCAAAGTTTTTCTTGTAGTGGGAAGAAAATGTCTAAAATACTCAATGTTACAATCAAGAAGAAAAGAGGTGAAGAATGACTTCCTTCTGATGGTAGGTACAAACATCAACTTAGAGTGCAGATTTTAGGGTGAAACTGGATGAAACTGGAAATAGCAAGTGTGTGGAGTTCTGTGAAACGGAAGAACCCCTCCATAGGCACATAGATACCTTGCTGCCTTTAGACCTCCAATACATAGTCTATAATAAGGTCCTGTAGGGAGTTATTGCTTATGAGAACCAAATAAACCCAATGTTCAGTGCTTATCAATATCTGAAATGTCACATGTTTTTCATATGTTAGACTCAGGGCCCTACCACACAACCAAATAATAATAATAATAATAATAATAATAATAATAATAATAATAATAATAATAATAATAATCTTTATTTGTACCCCGCGACCATCTCCCCGGTGGGGACTTGGGGGCGGCTTACATGGGGCCAAGCCTGAACAACAATTACAAATCAGAAAAACCAAAACACAACCGAAAACGCAGACAATAAACAACATCATAATTACATAAAGCATATAAGTACATAACAATATAAAAGGTACAATAGACACAGGCACAGAGACAATGGGCAGGCTACATGTAATTACTAAAAACAACTAATTAAAACTAATTAAAAACTCAGACAAGATAAAAGAGAGAAGCAAATAATATGCGGAGCAGTACTCATAATGGGGGGGGGGGGGGGGTGGAGTCAAGCTTCCCACAAAGGGGAGGGCAACTAATGACAGAATTATCATCTAAACTGTCATGTGATATTGTATACCTACTCATCAAAGGCACAATTCTGTAGAACGTAGTAGTGCCTTGATATTCTGGGTTATATGGCTTTGTGGAAGGGGTCCCAGGCTGCTTTTAACCGAGTTCTTCTTCCTGATGCTTTCTTCCCTTCCTTGGCAATTATGAAATGAAGCTAAAAGAACTTATAACTTATCCAGCAGGAAATGTTTCTTACCTCAGCTTCTGCCCATGTCATTTCTCTATCAAAATAACCATAACAGTTCCCTTCACTTTCCATCCAATCTCTGGGGCAGGATTTGGCTTCAGCTGCAATGGGAAAGGGATATGAATGTAGGACAAGTTATAGAAGATATTAACTGTGTTCTCTCTTATGTATGGAAACCTTACACACTGGTTCAAGAGTAGACATTTTGTGGCTTGTTGGGTGTTATCTGCCATCCATCAGCTACATATAGCCAACCTCCCAAAGTAACTGCTAACATAATACTTTTGATGTTTCTTAAAGGGACTTACCTCCTGGAAAAGGACTGGAGAGCAGAAGGCCAAAAAGGCAAAGGCTGGCATAGGTGAGAAGTCCCATCTTCCTGATGACTTTCAAGGGAGATTAAAAAAAACGTTCCAAAGAGTTATGTTGAGTGAATAGCAAATGGAATAACAATGAGAAGTAGTTCAATAAGTTACGGAGCACCTTGACTTTCACCTATCCGGAAACGTCAGTATTCTCATTAATTATATACCATTTTGATATTCTTTTCTTGGTGAATGAAATAATCTCCCTCTATATGAATAAAACAAATCACTCACCTGATGCTGGTTCCCTCTCAGTAAACGGATCCAGTGGACAACTGAACTGAGAGGTTCTTTGGCAATGCTCTGCTCTCTGTCTTTCCTAGGTTATATATATATATATGATTGACCAGAGATAATAGTCCAATATCAAGACGAAGGGATGATGAAATCCTGGTTGAGTTTCCTTACACTTGAACTGCTTACGTGTTACTCATTAGAAGGACAAGGTAAATTCTTCTTTATTCAGATAAGGAAATATATACCTAAATAAACAACTCTCTTTATTGATGCCCGCATGGTTATGAGTGCAATAAATAAATTACCATAGATACAGATTCAGTGTAACAACCATGAAGATGCTATATTGTACATATGCTGTGAAGTATTCTTATTAATACTTCTCCTCAACCCTACATTTCCATGTTTACAGTGTGTATTCCCTTGTTACCCATTGTCTCTTGGATTTATTTTTTTCTCTGTTCAGTATCTTTCCAAATGTCAGCCAAGATCTATATAGTGGTCAGGAGTGCTAATTATCTACTTCACCTGATATACCAGACAAGAGCCTTTTTAAAACTGGAAGACCAAAAGGTACATGTGTTGGTAACCTCACAACTGGACTTCTGTAAGATGCTGTACATGAGGTACCCTGTATTGGAAATTCCAATTAGTTCAAAATATGGCAGCCAGAATGGATATCAATACATTTAGGAATGAGCACATCACACCTCCTCTTAGATTACTCCCCTGCTTGCAAATCAATTTCCAAGGAAAAATAACATTGGTTATCACCATTAAGATAATGATGCTGGGGAATATGCAAGGAAAAAGCAAGAGGGGCCAGCCAAGGGCAAGATAGATGGATGGTATCCTTGAAGGGACTGGCTTGACCTAGAAGGAGCTGGGGTGGCCTCAGCCGACAGGGAGTCAGATGTGACGAAACAAATAAACAACAAATCACCATGGAAGTCCTAAATTGTTTGAGTCCAGGTTATCTGTAGGATCGTCTTCTCTCATATAATCCCCCTATACAGTTCGGTTCTCTGGGGGACTTTATTTCAGTCAGTCAGAATTCGACTGCAACTATCACTCAAGAGACCTTTTAAGCAGTTTATGTTCTCTTGGCTTTGTAAAAGTTGCTTATTGCTTTGCTGCCTTCTTTAGACTCCTTTGTAGCTTCAATCAGTTTATTTTATATTTAGACAAAGACTGCTACAGACAACTATTTTTGGGTTCTTCAGCCATTTTGGCTAATGAGAGGCATGCATTGTGTGAAATGTAGTTTAACAGCAGGGCCTTTTGTAATTTCCTCCATTAGGAGCCTGGCCTTCCCAAACTACAGTTAACGATGGCTGTGCTTAGCCATGCCCACTGCTTCCCTTTTTGCAGCCCTGGCGGAAAGAATGAGATTATAAAAATCCCCTTGCCTTTATCAAAATTGCTTAATGGTTGTGAAAATTAAAATAACCTTTGGAGACATCGAACATTATAGAATATTTCCGGGGGAAAAAGATAAGTGGTTCAAATTTGGATTTCCCCCCAACCTTTCCTACATGGTTCAAAACCTGCTTTGGATGTCCAAATTCATACATTTTTTTCCAAATTTCAGTCCTTTCTGAACGAACCTATCCAACCCTATTATCTATGCATTTAATGAGGCTTGAGCCTACCTCAAGTCATGAGAGAGAAATAATAATAATAACAATAACAACAACAATAGTAATAAGCTAAACTCATTTGATATATCCCAATTTGTGTACTAGCCCCCAAAATGTTGTTGGTCTGAAGGATGACAAGCTTTTTCTATAATAGGGTGGAGACTCTTCAGATAAATGACTCCTTGTGCTGCTGCCATTAACAAGGTGAGAAGAAAAGGTCAATACAAATCGCAACCTATCAGAGACAGTATTTTGAAGAGAATAAGATGGTATTTTATATTATTAGAATAGGAAAAGAAGTGAATGATCATCAAAGAGATCTCCACCTAATTCAGTTTCAATCCTAGCCTCCCATCCCAAATTTCAGGCCTGTATTGTCCTCTCAAGCTAGGCTGCATGCTGAACTCTTTCTGGAAGAGGCTGTTTGCTTGTGGGCGACTGGGGGTGACAGTCTTTCAACATCTGGAAAGCTGTATGATTTCTGCCCCAGATGTCAAGAAACAAGATAGATGGATTCTAGTTGTAACAGAAGGTAAATGGTTCTGTTATCTGAGCACTTCAGAGAACAAATACAAGATGATCACATATTAAAGGAGTGCCAGTAAAATATAATTTGCAGTTCACAGGAACCCAAGTTAATTGCAATTCATGTCATCATAAAATGAGCCCTATGTACATATTATTTTTCCCAAGAAATTTAGGATAGACACACATTAAACTAAACATATGTTGAAGCAATGCAAATTCTTCAAGTTTTGGTATACAACTCCCCACCTGTCTTTTATCTAGAAGCAGGAAACATTCCATTTCCTGTATAATCTGCACTAGGGTTGTGCTTTCGGGGTAAATTTTGCCCTGTCTCGTGTCCTGGCTTTTGTTGGGGTCTGTTTTGTGAGAGCCTCCCAAAAATTATTTATTTATTTATCATGTCAGGAGCGAACCAAAACAGTTGTATTGCATTAAAAGCAAACAAACAAACAAAACACAAAGTCTGCAGATTTAGTATTCTATTAAATGTCCTTTGACCAGTAGCTGGCCACTTGAAGTGCCTCTGGTGTTGCTGCAAGGAGGTCCTCCATTGTGCAGGGCTCAGGTTGCATTGCAGTACGTGGTCTGTGGTTTGCTCTTCTCCACACTCGCATGTCGTGGATTCCACTTTGTAGCCCCATTTCTTAAGGTTGGCTCTACATCTCGTGGTGCCAGAGTGCAGTCTGTTCAGCGTCTTCCAAGTTTCCCAGTTTTCTGTGTGCAAAATTGGGAGGGTAAATATTTGTTTTTGATTTGGGCCCCCGAAAAATGACCATTATGGGAGGTCTTCCCATGCACTGATTCCCCTTTCCTTCTTATCTGGCACCTGCTGTTTCTACTCTAGAGTAAGGGGCACCTGGCTGTAGGCTTTGGCAGGTGCATGCAGTTTCTGGGTCCACCTGCACGTCATGCCACATACACTCTCCTTGGAAAGAGAGAGTGTGTGGTATGGTATGCAGGCAGGCCCGGAAAGCTGGTGATTCATGGCCTCACGCATCTTATGGACATTATCTGGACATATGCAACACAATAGCCCAACAGACAGGACAAGATGGCCCATTGCCTTTTTCCTGACTGCCTCAGGGGAAGTTGCTACTTTTCACAATGCGCCTTTGTGTGTGGGACCCCTCACCACAGAAGGAACCTGATTGTCTTCTTCTATGCCCCACTCCTCTGCTATTTATATGATTGTGCCAATATGTTCTGCATTGAGTTGTCATGATCTAGGGCCAATGCCTTGGGTTGACACCCTTGGTGGGGCTCTGCCATGACCATGCTGCACACAATAAAGTTTTCCTGGGTAGGGCCAAGTGCCCTCAATCATTTTTATTATTTTTCCTGTTGAATAAAGGGAAACCCATTCACCGCCACTTAATGTCCTTTGTCTCTTCACAAGCTCAGGGAAATGCCAGTTTGCTCTGTCCCAGTTAACAGAAGAATAGACCACTGTTGCTCACAGCAGCTGGTGCATGATAAAGTAGGGGGTCAGGTCAGGAGACAACTGACCTAGGATCTCAGCATTGTTTCCTTTAGCTGTTTTAGAGGGGAGACAATCTTTTCCTTCCAAATTTGTTACATAGTAACAAGCTGTATTTCATCCTGCATCCAGAGAGCATTGTGAACCCCACCAATGGCGGAACTGCACCAAACTTGGCACACAGCCCCACATGGACAACGCGGGAACCTTGCCCTAATGTAAGGCAACACAAAGCACAAAGCAAAGTAGAACCCAAATAATTATTTGGATGTGGCTATAGTAGGCACGTGTCCACATCCAAATAATTATTTAAAGACCTGGCTATTCCGATGTGCCTTTCCAGAATAGGATAACCCCAGCACTTTGTCCCAGAAGCACTTTATTAGAGTTAAGACCCTCTGCACATTGCACTTGCCCAGAATTCCAATATTTATTTATTTATTTATTTCGGGTACTTCTACCCCGCCCTTCTCAACCCCCCCGGGGGGGGGGGGGGACTCAGGGCGGCTTACAAAAAGGCACGATTTGGTACCTATACAAGATATACACCTCCTGTCACACCCAGAACTTTTTAACTTGTACCCATCACTGGCCCGGCCGTGATTTTTATTGTGTAATAGTGTAGTGTTGTGTTTTGCCCATATTTTATTTTTCAAATTGTTGTTGTTGTCATTGACTGTAATACTGGTGGGGACTTCCATCACTGTAAGCAGACTTATGTCTGCAGGAATTAGAATTCGGTGGTTCGATAATATTTACATCCAGTTAAGTGCTGCTGTTACATTACTATGGACTTCATAACATTGAGCTGGAGAAAAGGAGGAAAAGTGGATGAAAAGGGTGGAGTTTCATGGGGTTCTATCTTTAAAGAAGGCAAAGAATTTACTCACTCCTATCACACTAAGATTGCCTCCTCCAGTTTCTAACTCAACTATCCCTTTAATTTCCATCACATGGGCAGGCAATGACTTCTCCCAATTCAAGGATACCAGCACACTTTTAAAAACAGACATCTTTTAAGGCAGCCCTGCCTTCAAACCCCTTAATGCAGTAGAGACTGATGCTCATCAGGATATTCTTGCCAATGTCTTATTATGCATCATTGCAATTCACTAGCAGGGTTTCTTAGTAATGGAATTGCACACATGGGACAAAGGGCCCTTCCACACAGCCCTAAATCCCAGAATATCAAGACAGAAAATCCCACATTATCTGAGTGTGGACTCAGATCACCCAGCTCAAAGCAGATATTGTGGGATTTTCTGCCTTGATATTCTGGGATATAGGGCTGTGTGGAGTGCCCAAAATCTCTCTCACTTGATTCTGGATAAAGTAATGTTATCTATGGATCCCCCAATGTCGCAGTGGGTTAAACCACTGAGCTGCTAAACTTGTTGATTGAAAGGTCGCAGGTTCAAAACTGTGGAGCAAGGTGAGCTTCCGCTGTCAGCCCCAGCTTCTGCCAGCCTAGCAGTTCGAAAACATGCAAATGTGAGTAGATCAATAGGTACCGCTCTGGGGGAAGGTACTGGCGCTCCATGCAGTCCTGGCGGCCACATGACCTTGGAGGTGTCTATGGACAATGCCGGCTCTTCAGTTTAGAAATGGAGAAGCCCCAGAGTCGGACACAACTGGACTTAATGTCAGGCGAAAACGTTTACCTAATGTTGTCTATTCACATGCATTGGTTTGGGTCACTAACTCCCCCTTTCATTTCTATTTAGATTTGTGCTTTTGGTAAACACTCATTTCATTGTTCTCCTTAGCAATCTTCCCAGTGCCTCTTTGACTTGATCATTCCTCAGGCAGTAGATCAGAGGATTCAAAAAGGGTGTGATTGTGACATAGAAGACTGTTATTGCCTTTGTGACATCAGACTGACTTTTCCTACTTGGAATTAAATACATCCCTCCAACTGAGCCATAGAAAAATGTCACCACCAACAGGTGCATAGATATAGTGGAGAAGGCCTTCTTACGGCTCCCTTGGTCAGAAGATTTCACCAGTGTGCAAATCACCTTGCCGTATGAAAATACAACACAGGTGACATTGCTTACAAAGATTGCATGCATAGACATTTGGCAGATAAGAGGAACTTTTCCAAGTGGAGGACAAGCCAAGTTCATAATTGGAACAGGATCACATACAAAATGGTCAATGATGTTGAGTCTACAGAAGGACAACCTAGAGATCAAAGTCACTGGGAGAATGTACCCCAGGAAGCCAAGGATCCAACAAGTGGACACCAAGGCATAGCAGAAGTTTGGGGACATGATTTGGGAGTAATGCAATGGGTGGCAGATGGCCAGGTACCGATCCAAAGCCATGGCCGAGAGGAAGAAGAATTCAGTACTGCCCAGAGAGAAGAAAACATAGAACTGCAGAAAACAAGCATGGAAAGAGATGGTGCTATGAGCGGAGGCAAGATCGAATAGCATCCGGGGCACTGTGGTGGTGATATAGCACATTTCCAGCCAGGAGAAGTTGCTCAGGAGGATATACATGGGAAGTTGGGCCAAATGGGCATCTAATAGCACAAGTGTTATAATAGTGATGTTCTCAGCCAAAGTAATTACATAGAGGATGGTGAAAATAATGAAAAGGAGTGATTTCTTCTGGTGCTCGGCTCCAAATCCCACTAAAATGAATTCTTGGATTGTGGTATCATTGGCCAACTCCATCTGGAAGCAAAGAATGGAATCGAGACTGAGTGTCACGTGGAAATATAGAGCATTTTGTATATCATATATATCATGTACATGCTGACTGAGTTGAGAAAATTAAGTTCTCAAAGTGTAGAAACTTTATTTAAGGTAAACAAATTGCTAACAGTTGTACTACGGACATTGTTACAGCCGAGAAATAAGTGACCACACAATACATTCATAGCTAAAGAAATTCAAATACTTCACAGGGCTTCATCCCACTTGTCAATATACAACATGAATCTGTCTTGGGTAGGTTTGAGCAGGCCGCAGTAGCAAAGCAGGTTAAACCTCCAACTGTACAAAATCTTACCAACTGGAAGGTTGGCAGTTCAAGCCGTGGGTCAGAGTGAGCTCCTGCCGTCAGCCCTAGCTCCTGTCGTGATGAAGATTAATAAGTGTAATCACAAACAGCTGTGGAACTTTCTCCCTCTGATTAAGGAGTAAACTCACACTTTTGTCATTGCAGCAGACTTTATACAAATATATATATACAGAGTCCATTTACAGTGACTGAAGACTGGAATACTTCTCCAGCTTCTTTTCCTGATACTTCCAGATAACTGGAGACGTCTTACTTGCTGGTTTTGCAGTCCAATTCTTCTTGACACTCCAACCTTCAGTCTCCTCAGGACACAAGCCTCTCAGAACCCCAACCTTCCAACACCTCAGCAAGTAGTAGCCCTTTTGCTCCTTTATTACCCTAGCAGTTACTTCACCCTGGCTGTAATTACACAATGCTAGCCAGTTTCTAGCTGCTCTAACAGCTCCTGCCTACCTAGCAGTTCAAAAACAATAATGTTATTAGATCAATAGGTACCTGGCGGGGAGGTAAAAGGCACCCATACAGACATGTTGGCAATTCGATCAGGAAGGCATCCATGGACAACAGGCTCCCATGGAAAATGGAACAAGAGCATCTCCCCATGGCCAGAGTTGAGCACAGCCTCCAGATGCCAGAGATGGAAAGGGTGAAGCCTTTGCCTCTGTCTATGTACTCTCTGTCTTTGTCAACAGCATTGAATGTTTACCATATATGTATTCTGTAATCCACTCTGAGTCCCCTTGGGGAGATAGAGCGGAATATAAGTAAAGTATATTATTATTATTTGTCCTCTATTGGCTCTTAGACCCAAATATTTTCTACCACCCCCTTACAAGAACACAATATTATAGCTGCACAATAGATTTGTTGGGCATAGATAAGTACTTCTCAAACAATGAAATTTTCCCCAGCAAATATCAGCATTGTCAAAGCATGACAACACTCATCATCATCTATTGACCTATTTTTGCACTGAAAAACAAAAACTACATGTATCCTTGTATTGTTGAAGGCTTTCATGGCTGGAATTACTGGGTTGTTGTGTGTTTTCTGGGCTATACGGCCATGTTCCAGAAGCATTCTCTCCTGACGTTTTACCTGCATTTATGGCAGGCATCCTCAGAGGTTGTGAGGTCTGTTGAAAACTAGGCAAATGAGGTTTATATATCTGTTGAATGCCCAGGGTGGGAGAAAAAACTGGTTGCTGTAAGTTTTTCAGGCTGTATGGCATTGTTCCAGAAACATTATCTCCTGACATTTCACCTGCATGTATGGCAGGCATCCTCAGAGGTTGTGAGGTCTGTTGGAAAATGGGGTTTATATGTCTGTGGAATGTCCAGGGCGGGAGAAAGAACTCTTGTCTGTTGGAAATAGGTCTCACAACCTCTGAGGATGCCTGCCATAGATGCAGGTGAAATGTCAGAAGAGAATGCTTCTGGAACATGGCCATACAACCCAGTATATGTATCCTGTTCTGGCAATGCTGCAGGACATTTCTTCTGCCAATCTCAGGTTTCAGACAATTATTTTTGGGTTTGATAACTCTGTGATCAAGTCATGAACTACTCAAAGTGGTGTCCAATGTACCAGTTCTAGTCCCCATAGCATTGGCTACCAGTTTCCAATGAGTTTCCATGGAAGTAAAACCAATTGTAATAATAATAATAATAATAATAATAATAATAATAATAATAATTTATACCCCACCACCGTCTCCCCGAAGGGGACTCGAGGCACCTAACATGAGGCCAAGCCTGAAACATACAATGCAGCAAAATAAAATAGAAAACAACAGAAAAGTTACATCTCAACAAAATACATAAAATAAAAAAACAGTGCAAAATCTATATAAATAAAAATGTAATGTTCGTTTGTGGGATTAACAGAACTCAAAAACCACTGGAAGAATTGACACCAAATTTGGACACAAGACACCTAACAACCCAATGTATGTCCTTCACTAAAAAAAATGATTTTGTCATTTGGGAGTTGTAGTTGCTGGGATTTATAGTTCACCTACAATCAAAGAGCATTCTGAACACCACCAATGATGGAATTGAACCAAACTTGGCACACAGTTCTCCCATGACCAACAGAAAATACTGGAAGGGTTTGGTGGGCAGTGTCCTTTGGTTTTGGAGTTGTAGTTCACCTACATCCAGAGATCACTGTGGACTCAAACAATGATGGATCTGGACCAAACTCTACAGAAATACTCAATATGCCCAAATGTGAACACTGGTGGAGTTTGGGGAAAATAGAATCTTGACATTTGGGAGTTGTAGTTGCTGGGATTTATAGTTCACCTACAATCACAGAGCATTCTGAACCCCACCAACGATAGAATTGGGCCAAACCTTCCACACAGAACCCCCATGACCACCAGAGTGGGCCACAGCAACACGTGGCAGGGGATGGCTAGTAATCTATATAAATAATCAAACACAAGGGGCGGGCCGAATGCACAAGATAAAATGATAAATTGTAGCCAATAGCCATACATATAGCACAGAGTTCTGACATATTTGGGGTGGGAACTCCCCATTCCCCTACATCAGAGAGCTTAACGTACACTGGCATATCATAACAGAGAGATAGATAAAATAACGACACTTACAAATTTGCAGAACTTCAGCTGTTTTGAAGTCAGCTACCTCTTGGACTCTTGCCACAAATAGTTGATTCCAAATCCCATGGAGACATCTCCCCTTCACCTGTTTCTTAATCCAGAAAAGAAAGCCAAGCTGTATTATGCCTCTCCACAATAGTGGTAATAGGGTTTGGTGCTTTTAAAAGTCTCCTGTGATTATCTAAACCAGGCATGGGCAAACTTGGGCCCTCTGGGTGTTTTGGACTTCGAGTCCCACAATTCCTAACAGCCTCAGGCCCCTTCCTTTTCCCCCTCAGCCGCTTAAGAGCTTAAGCGGCTGAGGGGGAAAAGAAGGGCCTGAGGCTGTTAGGAATTGTGGGACTTGAAATCCAAAACACCCAGAGGACCCAAGTTTGCCCAAGCTGATTTAAACTCTACCTGCTAAGGTATAGTATTTACATTGACTCATGGATAAGTAAACATATTTTAAGGCCCATTTTTGATTGAAATTTCTGGGCTAAAACAGAAGTGTATATGATCATTAACATGCCTCCATTAAGTAAAGTCAACAGTACAGCTTTGAAACATTGACACAATCTCTTGATGCCTTCAGTCTTCTCCATACTCTCAACCCACCATAATGTTAAGATGGTCTAGTAAACGTTCCATGTAACATTCCATGGAAATAACTTTTGGGTTGTTGTAGGTCTTTCAGGTTATATGGCCATGTTCTAGAAGCAGTCTCTCCTATGCTATGAGCATCCTCAGGACCTCACAACCTCTGAGGATGCTTGCCATAGATGCAGGCAAAACGTCAGGAGAGAATTCTTCTTGAACATGGCCATATAGCCCGAAAGACCTACAACAACCTAGTGATTCCAACCATGAAAGCCATCAACAATACATTGAAATTACTTATATATTTTTTCCCTTGAAAATAAGTATGGAATGAACAGCCTCCCTTTTACATTTCCCATCTCAGTTTATTTTGCTTTGGTACTTAATCCCATGTTCATACCTGGATGAAAGTTTGAAGGTTGGTCCAGCTGAAGATCCACTAGATATGTTTTCACAGAATTAGAAGAGAAAGGTGCTGATGTCTCTGCATGAGGTGGATGCTTGTCCACAAACTCAGAAGGGTGTTGTAGGCTAAACTATGGACTTCTTGTTAGACGTCTCACCAAACACATCCACACGCTAGAACTCCAATGGCTCTGATTAGTTCTTCTGATTGGAGATTTAAAATAAGTGATGGAGGTGAGCTTGGAGAAGGCTTCTCATGGGAACAAACCCATTATGTACCAAAATAACGACTCATAGGAGATAGTATCACCCATATGACAATGTTTTTCAGAGGAGAAATTAAGGTTTCCCCTTAACATTAAATCTAGTAGTGTCTCACTCTGGGGGTGGTGCCCATCTCCATTTCTAAGCCAAAGAGGGACGTTGTCCATAGACACCTCAAGGGCATGTGGCCAGCATGACTGCATAGAACACTGTTACCTTCCAGATGAAGCAGTACCTATTGGTCTATTACATTTGCATGTTTTCAAACTGTTAAGTTGGCAGAAGCTGGGCCTAACAGTGGGAGCACACCCTGCTCCTCAGATTTGAACCACCAACCTTTTGGTCAGCATGTTCAGCCGCTCAGCGGTTTAACAAGAAGTCAACAGTTTAGGGCTGTCGTCAGCCCTAGCTTTCTAACAAGAAGTTCATAGTTTAGGGCTGCCGTCAGCCCTAGCTTCTGTTTACCTTGCAGTTTTAGAAACATAAATGTGAGTAGATCAATAGGTACCACTTTGGCAGGGAGGTAAAAGGCGCCCCTGAAGAAGTTATGCCAGCAATTTGATCAGGAAGGCATCGCTGGGCAACAGTCTCCTTGTCATGGAAAATGGAACAACAGCACCTCTTCATGGCCAAGTTGAGCACAGCCTCCAGATGCTGAAAATGAAAAAGAGGGAAGTCTTGCCTCTGTCTATTTGCATGTTTTCCAACTGCTAGTTGGCAGGAGCTGGGCCTAACAGCAGGAGCTCACCAGGCTCCCCAAATTTGAACCACCAA